GCAGCCGGGGCACAAAGTGGTGTCCATTATGAGATGCCGGCCTCAAGGGGGGTGGCTATACCCCCTACCCTACAACTATTTTTTTATTAAAAACAGACTCATGGATTGTTTCAAAAAGAAAAGGTGCCTGACTCCCCTTATTACCACTCTTGTGGCAGGAATTATTGGCATAATCTCTATGATCCCCTTTGAGACCATGCCTACAGGTAGATCTCTGTTTTGTTCAGTACCAACGCTACATAGTGAGGAAACACTGTGTTTATTTGTTAAGATTTATCCTTTAGGAATAAAGTGTGTACCTAAGAACCATGAATTTTATTTGTTCCCCACAGAATATAGATCATGAGTAGTGTCATGGGTGCCAGTGCACATTGGTCTCATAGAGAGGAATTGACTGAGAATTCCCAGAGAAGTTAAGAGCAAGGTGGGCAGTGGGTGTGGAGTTGTTACAAAATGCCTGTGCACAAGCATTGCTGTTGTCTGAGGGCACGTTACACAACACAGTGGCCACGCTGCTTCCTTCTGTCTCCAAAGTGTTTGTTCTCATCCATTGCCTTGTTGGCAGAGAATGCAGGGAGAAATGTAATCCATTTCTTGGCCAATAACACATGAAGAAAAGTTTGTGAAGGATCCTTTAGGGAAGGTGTGCTGCTTCTGAAGAGACAGAAAAGAGAAAGGCTTTTCGTTGTCTGGATGCAGCAAGGGTGTCCCCTCACGAGGACATCTGCACTCCTCAGTGACGGCCCTAAGACTCTGATATGCAGCCGCAGAGCCACCCTGCACCTGGATCCCTTGCACAGGGGACAACTTCCTGATCATTCAAGCTAGGCTGGAAACATCCTCACTGCCATATGAGGATCAGAGTATTCTCTAAATACATGGGGTGCTGTTGGGAGTAACAAATACAAACTCAACTTCAACTTGACCAGAATCAAAGCGGCACTGCCCAATTTTTCCATCAGGTAGCTGGAAATCTAAGGAAAAAAAGCATACTTCTCCCTAGGGAGATGGAACATGAGTGCTGGTCACCCATGGCAGAGCATAGGGGAGAGAAACTCCAGTCGCCAGCCAGATGAGGGAGAAGTATGGATGTCATCTGGGTTCCTGGCAATAAGGCAGCCCCTGGTAAAAATCTCCAGTGATGAGCAAACCCCTGTGGTGGGCCAGCCCCCAGGCAGCAGCAGTCAGCCTCAAATATACACCTCAGGTTAGAACCGGGGCGGCCCACTCTCCTGCTGCCTGCTGGCAGTGTGTCTTAATAAATCTAACTGCTCTCTCTTCTCTGTGTTCTACTGCTGGGGAATTCTCTCACTACTATGACACTGGCCTCAGTAGTTACTCCCTGTGACATTTTGGTGGCCAGGACAGGGACTTCTCTGATCTCAGGAGCCACGTCTTTGGTCTCTTGATCACTCTCACACCTTTCTTCTCCATCTCTGGTCCTCAGAGGACAGTTTGCCAGTGCAGGGGCAGCTGAAGGTTCCTGGCCAGGCAGAGTACTGAGCCAAGCTCTATCATAATACAGAAAATCTCTTCACTTAAACCAAGAATGGGGATTTTCTTTTTCTTTTTTAATAAATGACCTTTTAAATTTTATTTGAAAGGCAGAGATACAGAGTATGTGTGGTGGTAGGGGAGATAGAGAGAGAGATGTGTTCCATCTGCTGGTTCACTCCCCAAATGGTCTCAACAGCCGCAGCTGAGCCAATCCAAAGCCAGGAGTGAGGAGCTTCTTCCAGGTCTCCCACGGGTGCTGAGGCCCAAGCACTTGGGCCATCTTCCACTGCTTTCTCAGGTACATTAGCAGGGAGCTGGATCAGAAGTGGAGCAGCCAGAACTTGAACCGGTGCCCATATGGATGCTGGCTGGCCCCAGCGATTTTTCTTACCAAAAATGTTATAGCCTCTTCTCCAATATGGAGCACCCCACTTCACCCCTTTAGCAGCAGGTAATTGACAGAATGATTGCCAGCCCTACCCCTTCAGGAGTGAAGAGTAAGAAGGAATAGGAGAACTGAAACTGAGCCCTCAACAGAGACTAAGCGCAGGTGCCAGATGCCAGCAAGCCCAGATTCCAGCCTCTCTCCCTTGGCTTTACACGTCCTTGCCCTGTCTTTTGACAGCACTGCCATGAACTCGCTGCACTGAGGGAGTGCTACGGCTGGCCCCACGAGGTTCTAGTCACTGGCTCACAGGGTCTCTCTTCAGGGGAATTCCAGGTCTGGGGCCGAACATGTAGGCACCCGCCCCCAAAACTGAGGGAAGTCCACCTGGCCATCATCAACGGCTCTAAAGAGCATGATATCCCTGACCACTCACAGGAAGGCTTCAACTGAAATTGAATGAAGAATGGATATGTAAGCTTTTATTCTGACACATCAAAGCAAGCCAGTGCAGCATAAATGGAGTGAACCGAAATAATGGTTCAAAAATGTTGCTAATCCAATGCCTGTTGGTTCACATAACTTAAGCAGATCTTTAATAGATAAGTTTCTTTTTTCTTATTTTTTAATATTCTTTTTTTTTTAGACAGTGAGAGAGAGACAGAGAGAAAGGTCTTCCTTTTTCCATTAGTTCACCCCCAAAGTGGCCGCTGCTGTGTTGCTGCGTCGATCCGAAGCCAGGAGCCAGGAGCCTCCAATAGATAAGTTTCTTTAGAAAGGAGGGCAGGTAAAGATATTTTCAGAATTGTTAGCATACATTTGTGCCTGGGTTTGCTGGCCAAGAAAACACATAACTCAGAATAATGTACACTATTCATTGTGTCCTGTCTATATGTTCTCTTTCTAAAAATGTTTCTTCTTGATTTAGAGATTTTAAAAGGATTGTTTCAAAATGTGAACTAAAGGAACCAGTAGATCCAAGAGAAGCAGTAGGAAGCTATTAGCATGAGAATGTATTCTTGGTAAGGGAGGTTAAGGAAAGGGAATTGTTGGATAAGGAAAGGCATTGTACATGAAATGTTTGTCCTAGAACAGAAATGACTGAACTACTCTAGACTGGAAAGGAAACAGAGAGTACAAATAACTGAGGAAATCTAATGTTATAGAAGGTTGGTGGAAGTTGATGCTGGTGAGATGAGCTTGAGATTAGAAGAACATTAGCCAACCTGGGCTTGGGTTCTCAACCCCCAGTGGAGAACCTGGCTGCAACTTTCTCTCTTGGCCCTAGTGGTTCTTGCAATATCCCTCCTCCTTGCCCTAACTCGTTGGCCTCCTCTTTTGAACAAATGAATTCGGTAGAGCTCATCCAAAATACAACTCTATTTCTAAATGGTAATGCAACTCCTCCAACATCAAATTCCTCCAGAGGAGGCCACCTTACTCCCCTGGATAACACGACAGATCACCCTCTCTTCCCCAAGGCTCTGCCACCTGCTGCATCCCTACAGCCAGGACCCCAGGGCCCCCTAAACACCTGACAGATCCATAATCCTAAGGCCTGTGCAAAGCCCCTGTCCAAGCATGAAGCAGTCACAGAAGACGAGGCCTTCATCCGCATGTTGAAGATTTGTCACTGTCAATCTCTCAGAAGGAATATGGAGGTGACCCTTCCAATAAGGAAGCCCCAAGTAAAAATCCCCAGCAATAAAGAAATCGCTGGTGATAGAAAAGCCCCTAGCCAGCGGCAGCCTGCCTCGCAGATACCTCCCAGATCAAACTCCACGAGGCAGCAGTAGCCAGTTTCCAGTGGGCCTGCTCACCTGCTGCTATCACAGAAGTGGGCCCAGCCCCGACCTGATCTGCTTGCACACTGCTCCCTTGCAATGTATTTTAATAAATCTAACTCTGATCACTCCTTTTTAAAAAAAGATTTATCTATTTATTTATTTGAAAGAGTTACACAGAAGAGAGGAGAAGAGGCAGAGAGAGAGAGAGAGAGAGATACAGAGAGAGAGAGAGAGAGAGAGAGATCGATCCTCCATCCAATGGTTCACACCCAATTGGCTGCAACAGCTGGAGCTCTGCTGATCTGAAGCCAGGAGCCAGGAGCTTCCTCCAAGTATCCCACATGGGTGCAGGGGCCCAAGGACTTGGGCCATCTTCTGCTGCTTTCCCAGGCCATAGCAGAGAGCTGGATCGGAAGTGGAGCAGCTGGGACTTGAACTGGTGCCCAAATGGGATGCCAGCACTGCAGGTGGCGGCTTTACCCAATGTGCCACAGCGCTAGCCCCTCTGATAACTCCTTTCTGTATTCTACTGTTGACAAATTCTTCTCACTGCCTCCAACATTGGCCTCTACTGGTCACTTCCTGCAACAAGAAGGGATTTGGGTACATATGAATTTCTAAAGTCCTCCTTTACACATATATGAAATATTCATGAAGGAAGACTTTTGGGGAGTGTAAATAAACCTTAAGAATTTAAAGGAGGGGGCTGGTACCGTGGCTCACTTGGTTAATCCTCCACCTGCGGCACCAGCATCCCATATGGGCGCCGGGTTCTAGTCCCGGTTGCTCCTCTTCTAGTCCAGCTCTCTGCTGTGGCCCAGGAGTGCAGTTTAGGATGGCCCAAGTGCTTGGGCCCTGCACCCACATGGGAGACCAGGAGAAGCACCTGCCTCCTGGCTTCACATCGGTGCAGCGTGCCAGCCGTAGCAGTCATTTGGGGGGGTGAACCAACGAAAGGAAGACCTTTCTCTCTGTCTCTCTCTCTAATTCTACTTGTCAAATAAAAAAGAATAAATAAAAATAATTGAAAGTAGTTAAAATCAAATTAAGGTCCCTGACCACCATATAATTAAACTCAAAATGAATAAAGCATCCACATGTCAAAGCGGAAGTCACAAGAGAAGTTATAAGATATTTTGAATCAAATAAAAATGCAAACACAGTGCTCAGGGAGAAATTTATAGCAGTAAATGTTGTATTAGAAAACCATAAAGTTCTCAAATCAGTTGTCTAGATTTCCAATAAAGCAGGGCTAGAAGCAAATTTTCTGAGGAAACAATAAAAAGATAACACCAGAAATCAATGAAATGGAGACATAAAAACAACAGAGAGTACCAGCTTAGGTGGCATAGATACCTCAATTGGAACAAAGTAGAAAAGATTAACATGGCCCCTGCACAAAGACAGCACACAAGTTCATGAATCACTCCATATTTTTAATGCATTGCATATCCCCAAGTAACTAGAAGAGAGGATTTAACATGCTAACCATAAAGAAATGATAAAAGTTTGAGGTGACAGATACGCTAATTTCCCTGATTCAATCAGTGGCCTATATATATATATATATATATACACACATACATACAGACATGTGTATGTGAAACATAACATTATATTTCACCCTGTAACTGCATGCCATTATCACGTGCCAATCAAAAAAATAAAAACAATATAAAACATCAATAACAGTAGTAATAAACTTTGAAAAGATCAGCAAAAGTCTAGTCAGATTTTTTTTTCAAAAACAGAGAAGTGTGCCAGCACCATGATGTAGCAGGTAAAGCTGCTGCCTGCAGTGCCAGCATCCCATTTGGGCGTCAGTTCAAGACCCGGCTGCTCCACTTCTGATCCAGCTCTCTGTTATGGCCTGGGAAAGCAGTAGAAGGTGGTCCAAGTCCTTGGGCCCCTGCAAACACATGGGAGACCCAGAAGAAGCTCCTGGCTCCTGGCTTCAGATCAGCCCAGCTCTGGCCATTGTGAACATTTGGGGAATGAACCAGCAGATGGAAGACCTCTCTCTCTGCCTCTGCCTCTCCTTCTCTGTAACTCTGCCATTCGAATAAAGAAAGAAATCTTTAAAAAAATAGAGAAGTTACTGAGTACAGATATTAGGAATTAAAGAGGTGATATCACCTTAGATATTACACATGTAATGGCCAATTTTATATCTATGAATTCTATAACTTAGGTGATATGGGTAATTTCTTTTAATTTTTTTATTTTCATTTTATTTGAAATGCAGAGAGAAATTTTCCATTCACTGGTCCACTCCCCTAATACACTCAACAACCAGGGCTGGGCCCTGCCAAAGCCAGGAGCCAAAAATTTAATTCAAAGTTCCCATGTTGGTGGCAGGGACCTAGCTCCTCAAGCCACCACCTGCTGTCTCCTGGGATATGCATTAGCAGGAAACTGGATCAGAAGCAGAGGACCCAGGACCCCAATCCTACACTCCTATATGGGATAATGGACCAAGGGCTTGGGCCCTCCCACCCACGTTGGAAACCCATATGGAATTCCTGGCTCCTGGCTTTGGCTTGGCCCAATCCCAGATGTTGTGACCATCTGCAAAGTTAATCAGTGAATAGAAGGCCTGTGTGTGTGTGTGTGTGTCTAACTCTGCCTTTCAAATAAATGAAAGAAGGAGAAGGAGAAGGAGAAGGAGAAGGAGAAGGAGAAGGAGAAGGAGAAAAGAAAAGAAAAGAAAAGAAAAGAAAAGAAAAGAAAAGAAAAGAAAAGAAAAGGAAGGGTCTACAAACCAATATCCTTCAGGAATATGGACACAACATTTTTCAACAAAATATTAATAAAAATTCAATGTATAAAAAGGAAAATTTGTCATGTTCAGTGGGATTTATTCAGGGAATACAGGTATGTTCTGCATTTAAAAATCAATCAGCCAGCGCCGAGGCTCTATAGGCTAATCCTCGGCCTGCGGCGCCAGCACACCGGCTTCTAGTCCCGGTCGCTCCTCTTCCTGTCCAGCTCTTTGCTGTGGCCCAGGAGTGCAGTGGAGGATAGCCCAAGTCCTTGGGCCCTACACCTACATGGGAGACCAGAAGCACCTGGCTCCTGCCTTCGGATCAGCGCGGTGCGCTGGCCGCAGCAGCCATTGTGGGGTGAACCAACGTAAAAGGAAGACCTTTCTCTCTCTGTCTCTCTCTCTCACTGTCCACTCTGCCTGTCCAAAAAAAAAAAAAAAATCAGAGTTATTTCAGCAAAAATGGTGGAGTAAGGGCCATAAAGCAATGAGGAAACTGGACAAAGAAAGCTGTCAGAATCAAATTTTTCAGAGCTCTGAAAATTAACCAAAGTCTTGTAGCCATTTAGGAAACATTCAGGAAAACGCTCTGTGAGAAGAGCAAGCCTTGTTGTACTCTAACTCTTGCCCTATTTCCAGCCTCCCAGCTTTACAGTAGCTTTGAAAAGCAATAGCTCTCAATCATGGTGCAAACCAGCAGCCTCTGGAGGGGCAGAGTGGGCTTAGAGTTTATTCCAAACTTTATTCAGAGAGAATTATCATTATTTGACCAGGCTAGTGGCTCTGTGAAAACTCATCATATTATCTGCAATTGACAGGATTCAGAGCTCATTGAGTGAGAAAAGCCTTTACTCGGAGGCATCTATCAAAAACAATTAGATGCAATTGTCAAGCCACAACAGTCAGGGCAAACAATAGCCTAGCGGAAAACCTTCAACAGAACAGATATGGAGTAAGACATTATATGGGCTTTGGAAAACTCTATGCTTCTGGGAATTTAGAAAACCATACTATATGCACAGGAATGTGTGCATACCAACGCTGTGTGCATGTGCAGGAAAGACTGGGGAAGTTCCCATAAGCTCTCCCTTTGGATGACTTTGAGGTTCTGTGAGGGAAGAAAGTGAAGGCTAAGGTAGAGCTGTCAGCTGCCTGAGGGTTAGTCAGTCCCTCAATGTGCAGAAACAATACCCTGGCAAAGACGGGGAGACTTACCGGGTCCAGGCATTTAAATAAATATCTGCCTACTGAAATAACAGGGCAGACTTTAGAGGCCACATATAACAAAGAATACAGATATTAAAAACAAAGAATAGGGATGTTAAAAAATTAATTCAGAACTGTCATTTAAAAAGAAAGCAAAGCAAAGCAATAAAGCTAGCTTAGGGAGGGAGGAGAATCCGATTTTCAGAGCTGCTGCACTATATTATCTGAATCTTGACTCTTTACTGACAGCAATATAACTGGGAGACATGCAAAAAAGTGAGGAAGTATGACTCAAACAGGGAAAAATGATAGTAATAATTACTAGGAATAGTCTCTAGGAAACCCACAGATTAAACAAGAACTTTAAATCAGCTATCTTAATATATTCAAGGAGTTAAAAGAAACAATATCTAAATAACTAAAAGGGAATATCAGTAGGGGAGGGCCTTCTGATGTAGTGGTTAAGATGCCATTCGGATCCTGCGGGGGAAACAGGACACACTGAGCAGACTCATAGAATGGCAGCACTCCTGCCTCAGAATCAACCCTTGGGACATTCGAATCTGGCTAAAAGGTCCATGAGAGTCTCACAGGCATGGAAAGCCATGACACGGTGACAAAAAACAATCTAAATGAAAGATCCTGGTGAACAAGACCCCAGCAGAAGGAACAGGCCATCAAGGAGAGAGGCGCCTTTCTCTGAAGGGAGGAAGGAACCTCCATTGTGATACGGCCTTGACTAAACAAGTTCAGAGTCGATGAACTCAAGGGGCTTCCATAGCCTAGACAGCTCCTAGCAAGTCTCAGGTGATTGCTGACGTCATAAATAAGCGTGCCATTGTTAGGCCGGCGACACGGCTCACTAGGCTAATCCTCCGCCTAGTGGCCCCAGCACACCAGGTTCTAGTCCCGGTCGGGGCGCCAGATTCTGTCCCGGTTGCCCCTCTTCCAGGCCAGCTCTCTGCTGTGGCCAGGGAGTGCAGTGGAGGATGGCCCAAGTGCTTGGGCCCTGCACCCCATGGGAGACCAGGATAAGTACCTGGCTTCTGCCATCGGATCAGCGAGGTGTGCAGGCCACAGCGCACCGGCCGCGGCGGCCATTGGAGGGTGAACCAACGGCAAAAGGAAGACCTTTCTCTCTGTCTCTCTCTCTCACTGTCCACTCTGCCTGTCAAAAAAAAATAAAAAAATAAAAAAAAGTATTAAAAAAAAAGAGTGCCATTGTTAAATTAACAACGGGAGTCACTGGGTACATGCTCCCCACGTAGGATCTCTGTCCTTAATGTGTTTTACTATGAAACTTAAAAACAACACTACTAGTCGAACAATACCCTATACCTTGTGCGGTTGTGTGAGTACAGCCTGTTGAAATCCTTGCTTAGTATATACTAAGTTGATCTTCAGTATATGAAGGTAATTGAAAATGAAACGTGATGAAGGGCGGGATGGGAGAGGGAATGGGAGAGGGGAGGGCCACGGGAGGGAGGGAGGTTGGTGGGGGGAGCCACAACAATACAAAAGTTGCACTTTGTAAATCCACATTTATTAAATAAAAAAACTATATAACAAAAAAAGAAAAAAAAAGAACTTAATACTTTACCCTTTTAGTATTTTTTATGTTCTACTTAAAACTATTGGTTGAACTCTGTAATTAATACACAATTACTCTTAGGTGTTTAATTAATGCTATAACTAGTACTCAATGCTATAACTAGTACTTACACTTTGTGTTTATGTGTGGGTGCAAACTGTTCAAATCTTTACTTAATATATGCTAAATTGATCTTCTGTATATAAAGATAATTGAAAATGAATCTTGTTGTGAATGGAAGGGGAGAGGGAGTGGGAGAGGGGAGTGTTGTGGGTGGGAGGGAAGTTATGGGGGGGGGAAGCTATTGTAATCCATAAGCTGTACTTTGGAAATTTATGTTCATTAAATTAAAAAAAAAAAAAAGATGCCATTTGGCACGCCTGTATCCCATATTGAAAGGCTCTGGTCTGAGTCCCTGCTAAGCTTCCTATCTAGCTTCCTGCTAATGCACACTTGGGAGGGAGCAGTAATGGCTCAAGGACTCAGGTTCCTGCCACCCATATTGTAGATTCAGTGGAGTTCTAGACTCCCAGCTTTGGGCTGGCCCAGCCCTGTTTGTTGCAGACATTTAAAGAATGAACCTGGGGCCAGTGCCATGGCTCACTTGGTTAATCCTCTGCCTGTGGCGCCAGCATCCCATATGGGCGCCGGGTTCTAGTCCCAGTTGCTCCTCTTCCAGTCCAGCTCTCTGCTGTGGCCCTGGAGAGCAGCGGAGGATGGCCCAAGTACTTGGGCCCCTGCACCTGCATGGGAGACCAGGAAGAAGCACCTGACTCCTGGCTTTGGATTGGCACAGCGCCGGTATGGCGGTCATTTGGGGGGTGAACCAACGGAAGGAAGACCTTTCTCTCTCTCTCAGTGTCTATCTGTCAAATAA